GGGAGAGGAGATGGGAAGAGGAAAGACAGTAGGATCAGATATTTCTTTCCTATGTGCCTGTGTGAATACACAGCCCCACGCAATTCCACATCACGTACAACCAGAAGCATGAGAAGTTATACTCCTCAATGTAGGTCAAAATGCATCCTACCATCATGGATAACTCATAAGAACAACAACAGCAAAAGAGAATCCCTGATGTCGACAGTCCCACACTGGCAGGCAGGGAATGGGGTGAGCCAAGGGTCCCAGGTGGCAGTGTTATTCCTGGGCATGGCGCACCTGTAGGCTCCCGTCCAGAATGCGCTACATCACAGCAACAGGAGGACGTGGGACACTCATGGAACATTTCAAACAAACAGCTCCTTCTTTGCTTAGAAAGGAGAGACTTCTGTAAAAGTGTGTGTCGAGGAACCTGGTTCTGGCTGTGTTGAATAAAAGCGTTGGAACTGAACGTTCCCCTGGGCTCTGATCTCTGTGCTCAGGCAAGTCATAAACAGCGAGGGAGCAGCACCTCTGCTCTGGATGGTTTCCAGTTGGCCTTTCTCCAGGGAGCAGAGAACTGACCACCCTTTCTGCTCTTCAAAAAATTAAGAACCTCACCTTCCAGCCTTGGGCAGGGGGCTACAGGAAATATCTGGATCTTACTTTATCCCACATTTAATAAGACCGAGTCTCTATCTCTAGGGTCTTGCAATTTTATTACTATAAAAAAAAAATCAAAGTCTTTTCCTCTCTGGAGGGCAGTGGACCACTGATTTGTGTACACTCGGAGCATGCTTTGGTCTTCTCTTTGGTTTTCCCATACCACCTTATCACATATAAATCAAGACACTCTATAAAAGAAATCTCAATGACCAGTCCATTCTCTACATCCTTATAATCCTCCCATGTTTTTGTTTTAAAAATCTACCCTAAAGGAAAGAACTGAACTAATTTTAAGCAGACTTTTTAATGCAAAAATATACACAAGGGAGCAAAGGGCAAGAATTTAAATTACGTGAGATGATGAATTTTTTTTTTCAGATAATACAGTTATTTGATAACGCTAGCTGGTCTTGAAATTTCTCATTTGCAATTAGATGTATGGTGGGTTTTTTTTTTTTTTTTGTATTCAGGAGAAAATGTTTCCAAATAGACTCATGGGGTTTAAAAGACTTACATTAGAAATGAAAATCAAACAAAAAAATCCTCCCCCAAACAAAAGCTACCTGTGTTCATTTCACTAGGCAGAGATGATGGGGCACGTGATCCCAGGTCTAGTTTCTGGTGTCTTACCATCTTAGAGCGGATTCCTAGAATATGATGTTTCAGGGTCGGCAGAAGCTTGGACGAATATAGTCCATGCAAATCTCCAGTGCTCAAATCTCCAGTGCTCTACCAAAAGGTCCCTTGACATCTGCTTGAATACTTCCAGGGACGGGGTTGGGGTAGGGCTTCTCTAGCTCACCCACGGGGTGTCTCATTTCATCTATAGAAAACTTAAGGAAGTTTTTTATGTTGTTCAAAAATCAGTTCAAATGCTTTTTTTTGTGTGTGTGTGGGGGTTCAGTCTTTTAAAAAAAATTTAAAATTTGCTCTAATTGGTTATACATGAGAGCAGAACACACTTTGATTCATTGTATACAAAGGGAGCACAATTTTTCACTTCTCTGGTTGTACACAAAGTAGAGTCACACCATTTGTGCAATTATACATGTACCTAGGGTAATGATGTCCGTCTCATTCCACCACCTACCTCCATACCCTCTCTCTTTCCCTCCTTCCCCTTTGTCCAATCCAGAGTTCCTCCTTCTCATGTCCCTCCTTCTCATTATGGATCAGCATCCACTTATCAGAAAAAACATTCGGCTTTTGGTTTTTGGGAGGGCTTACTTAGCTTAGCATAATATTCTCCAACACCATCTACTTACCTGCAAATGCCATAATTTTGTTTTCTTTTATTGCTGAGTAATATTCCATTGTGTATACATGCCACAGTCTCTTTATCCATTCATCTACTGAAGGGCATCTAGGTTGGCTCCACAGTTTAGCTATTGTGAATTGTGCAGCTATGAACATCGATGTGGCTGTGTCCCTTGTAGTATGCTGTTTTTAAGTCCTTTGGGCATAGACCAAGGAAGGGGATGGCTGGGTCAAATGGTGGTTCCATTCCAAGTTTTTGAGTGCAAAGATGTTGTTTAAGCTGTGGTGAGCAAGCTATGGACAAAATAAAAAGAAGTCCCCATGGAAAGACCCCAGCAGGGAAAGTACTCACATCTTTAGCTTGTGTGGTCAGAAAAGGTCTCACTGAAGAGTGATTTTTCCAGTGGAATATCTGAGGGAATAGCATCCCCCCCCAATGGGCACAGTAAGTGCAAAGGCCCTGAGGCAGGAGTGTGCCTGGTGTCTTTAGCCAGGGACCCAGTGTGATAGGAGCCAGGTGGGTGGTGGTTTCCCCAGGAGAGAGGTAGGATAGGAGGTTAGAAAGCAATTAGGAACCAGGCCACATGGGGACACTGGTTTTTATTCTGAATAAAGTGAGGAGTCACTGGAATGTGTTGAACTGGGAACTAATATGCTGTTGAGGGAGTTTAGGCCAAAGATGATGGTGTCTTGGAGGTTAAGGGGGTGGGTTCTGCATTGCTTCCGATTGGTCTCACCCGAGGACCCTGGTGTTACCTTCTGGGGCTCATTTAACCATGTGGTCCTCTTTCCTATGTTTGCCTCTTTTGTTTTTCGAGATGGGGTCTTGCTATTGTTGCCCCAGGTTGGTCTTGAACTTGTGATCCCCCTGGTTCCACCTCGGTGGGAGTAGCTGGGATTATAAGTGTCGCGTCCCTGTGCCCAGTTTCTCCTTCATATTTTTGAATTAAAATAAGGCATATGCCTCTTTTCTCTTCCTGTTTCTTTCTCTCACTCTTCCTTCCTTTTCTCCCTAAGGGACCGTTCTGGCCACTCTGTCCTGAGCCTCCGCCGTCTATTTCTGCTCAGTCTTGGGCTTCGAGAGTAGCAGCAGTGCCTGGAAATGGTCCGTCATTTTTCAGGCCTGGAAACAAGTCTCAGTAGCTGAGAAACGGGGATAGGGACTCTGGGATGTGGGAAATAGAAGCCACAGGACTAAGTGGGCCCCCGATTCAAAGGTTCTCAGAGCAGACCTTGCCTCAGTTTTCAAGGGCAGTATCCAGGAACGGTGAAGAACTTGGGCTTTCTGCCCAGTTCCTATAGGTTTACCTTCGAGTTCTCCTTTCTATTAACTGTGTGACTTTGGGTGAATCACTCAGCCTCTCTGAACTGTGTTTTCCCATCCATAAAACGGTGATAATCGCAGTTCTGATTTTGTGAAGCTGTTGTTAGGTGCAATCCTATACAGAAGCTTTTGGCTTAGAGCCCAACACAGAGTGAGTCCTTGGTAAGTATGGACTGTAATTTTATAATATAAATTCATACAAACCTAGAATGTCACAAAAATGAAATATGAGGTTTTCATTTGCTTTGCCACAGATACTAAAAGATTCTCTTAATAACAATTTCTCTAGTATATTTATGCTATGCCTTAAATGATCCAAATTGGGTTTGCACACTGCATTTAAGCAGTTAGCTTGCATAGCGTTTGGCTTACCTGTGCTGTGACAGCAGGGAATGTACCCAAAGCTTCCTGTCTGTGCAGACGCTGTGGTGCTCCCTGTGCCCTACTCCTTTCCCAGACTCCAGGAACACGGTGACCCCAGCACTGGGTAGAATTGCTAAAAAGTTTTGAGAATCTCACTGTATTCTAAGAAGTGTTGCATTTGATTTTTCCATTGAAAAACTTGAACAAAATGAGAATACAGAAGTAGAGCACTTCAGGGGACCACAAGAGTTTCGTGTCATTGAAATCACAGGATTGGAAGGGACTGGAGAGGCCATCCAATGCGTCCTTCTCCTTCTGCAGCTGAGGACATAGAGGCTGACAGAGGTGAGTGAGGGACTCATCCAAGGCCACTCAGCTTATGTGTGGCAGCAGGGACTCAGATGGCCTTCAACCCATGGATCCTGGTTAGGAATGGATTTCAATTGCCATTCATTTTTTAAAAAAACTTATTTATTTTTTTTCTTAAAAACTCTGGGAATGAAATTTGTTCTTTTCCGTGGAAGTCTATCTCAGTATGGTAGCTTTTCCTTAAACATAACCCAAGTCCCTCCTAGAACAATTTTGTTACCCAAACTCAGGCCTGCCACGGAATTATCACGGCTCTGGAACATGCTGAATGTGGCCAAGAAGAAGAAAACTCAGTGCCCATGGCACATTCTTTATTCCTCCATTTGCCTCCAACTTGAACTTCCTAAGTCTCCTCGGATCTTCCCTCCATGGCCCCCTGTTGATGTCCCTCCCACTGGAGTGTGGGTGCCAGGAGGGTGGGTCTGACAAGTGCCTGGAAAAACGGGCGCTCAGTAGGTGCTTGCTGTGAACTGACTGAGTGCCTACAGTGTGCCAGGTGTTCCTCTTGGCCCGAAGGAGCGTAGTCTCCCTTGCACCATGAATAGGGACAAGAGGAGAGAAAGTGCACCTGCCCCTGAGTGGGAAGCAAGGCTCACACTCACCTGCCTGTCCCTGGCAGACTCAGAGGCACTCTCCTCTAAAGAGTAGTTTCTCTCTTTAACTTGCACATCATGAGCCCTGCCTCACCACCCCATGTGGCACACATGTGGCAACACACACACACACACACACACTCACATCTGGAATCAGTGTGAAGTGTCATTGTCCCCCTCATATACATTTCTCACTGCCTTGCACAGTAGCTAAAATCCCCTCTATGGGAAGGATCTCTGGGTTAAGGAACATCTATCAAAGACCCATTTTTAATGATAAATATTTCATCTATAGATGCTAAACATGAGCTTTTAGCAACACCAATACCTTCACATGAATTAGTGTTTTCAGGTCACAGATAGAAATGAACAGAACACTCAGGAAATGAACATAAAACGGTTACATTCCATCGACAAAGGAGAGAGGAGAGAGGGCTGAGAATGTTCTAGAACATTGCTACTCAAGGTGTGATCTGGGAATAGCTGCTGTTCCTGCATCAGGTAAATAACTTCACAGTCACTAAGCCTTCTTCTTAATTAAGCTAAAATCACCCCCGCCCCCCCGCCCTGGCATCTAGGCTCTCTCACTGAGGGAAGCAGATGCTCATTTCCATCCTAGTGCAAGATCCTTGTTCCATAGCTGCCTGCAACAGGAGCCCAGGGAAGAGCTACATACATTGATCTAGAAGATGGGCCACTGCCGGAGTAGGTAGCTAAGTCCAGACAGTGGAGGAGATCCGGGGCTTCTGAGGCAACTGTTCCTGGACATGGGTCGGTAGGACAGACAGTTGGTTTTGTTTACCTTACAGCAGTGCCTAAAGACAAGGGTTGACTGAAGGTTCTCTCCCTCCCTCCCTCCCTCCCTCCCTCCCTTCTTTCCTTCCTTCCTTCCTTCCTTCCTTCCTTCCTTCCTTCCTTTTCTCCCTCTCTCCTCCTTTCCTTCCTATCTTCCCCCCACTTTTTCTCTCTCTCTCCCTTCCTTCCTTTCATTTATTTCAAAATTTTGCACCTGCTTTAGTATCTGGCAAATGCAAACAACACATTTTGTTGAGTATCACTGTAGTGCAAAAGAAAGAATAAAGAATCAAATCTCAGAAAGTTAATATCCATGATTCTCCATATGAGCTGGGGGATCCTTGACCAACACCTTCACTTCTCTGTTCCTTCATTTATGGAAATCCCGTGACAGAAGACACCATACAGCTTTACTGTAGCAATGAAGTGTAGTAGCATACTTCAAATCCAGAGTTCCAGGCACACAGATTTTTTTTTTGGAATAAATGGACTGAGTGATATTTGCGTGCATTATTTTACGTATCCCTCTCAGCAACTCTATGAGGTGGGAGCTCTTAGCAGCCCATTCTGTAGAGGGGGAAACAGAGACTTAAAAATACAAAGCCTAAGAAAAGTTGCCTGAAGTCGGAGCTGGAGCCAGGATGACTCATAGATCAAAAGAACTGCTTGAAACTAGCACCCACGATTTTCCTGAGGCTTTTTTTTTTTTTTTTTTGTTATAGTTGATAATAATGAGTCGGCTGTGTGGGCAGCCACATGATAAAGGAAAACGAACTGAATCATTAAGCCTCCACTTTATCGTCTGCACTTTATAGACTGCAGAACTGACTTGGGCGAGGAAATTCCACCAAAAACTTTAACATGGAAAGAAAGAAAAATGGAAAAAGGCGAGATCCCTCTAAATAGCTCTGCAAAGGTCAATGGGATTAATATACCCTTTGAACATGGTTATTTTAGCTGAAATAAGGAAACAACATGGGGGAAACTTCACAGACTACTTGTATAATAGAAATGTAATGTATTTGCCCTTTTCCTCTTTCTTTATAGTGAATGTGTGATTACATGAGAGGCAAGTTGGTAGAATAAATGGAACTACCGTGAGGTGGTGTTCAGGAAATGGGTTGATTATCTGTAAATGTTATTTTATGTCCTCGGGTTCATCAGACTTTTCAACTCAAGGTGCCTTGAGAAGAATGAGTAGATAATGGGCAACTAAATTTGATGGATTAGAAGCCTGGAGAAAACGTGTGCTCTTGGGGACATTTGCAGTCGCCTTCTATGTTCTTTATAATTTAAACAAACTACTTCTAAGTCACTGTATAGGTCAAACTTAATTTTTAACCTCTTGTAAGATGAAAATTAACCTTGAGATAAATTCATAGAATTTCCCAAGTAGAGATTAGAGCCATAGCAGACATTAGTAAGCATTCTCAGAAAAAAGGATTGTACAAGTTTTGAAGCCCCTGAGTTTGGCAGAGCTCCTTAGACTTCCCTACTGCAGAATTTTCTCAGAGTCGCTAATGTGCTGACGTGGATTATCAGCCTCCCAGAGGGTGGCAAATAGCATAAAATTACTTGGGTAAAAAAAAAAAAAAATCCCCTATGCTTTCTCCCCCACCCACTGGAACTCTTTTCAAACCATTTGTGGGGAATAGAGTTCTCTGGAATATACTTTAGAAAATATCGATCTTCTCCAACCCTCTTTATTTTATAGTTTAGGAAATCGAGTTTCACAGAGTTTATGTACCTTATATTCAATATCTTATTTTTGTGTCTGCCTAGAAGGTGTGCCTGTAAAATGATACAGTTTTAATTTTATGAACATAGAAATATTGCTTGGACATGAGTGTCATCTTTCACGATGGGACCCTGGAGTGTGTTTACGTGGCGTCCTTCTAAACCTTCTGGAGCTTCTCTTGGGTGTTGCCAGGCTCGGGCTGTCAGGCTGCCACAGGAGACTTCAGCCTGCCACTGGGAGCAACATCTGATTGGGGCTGTTGTAGTAGAAAGAAACTCAGACAGCTAATCAGAGACTAGCTCTGCTAGTCCCCCTTCAATCATTAACAAGTGACATGGCTTTACTTTTTAAACTCTTAGAGCCCCAGCTCCTATGTCCTAAAGACCACCTATGTCCTAAAGTCACATGTGGACATCCTTACGGGATGGGTTGTCTCTGCTGGCACTGTGGTTTCAGCTCTATGGTTTATGAACTTTTACACTGTGGGGAAATTTTTTTCCACTGTCTCTTCCTTTTTAGAATGGGAACATGCTATAGTTTGGATCTTAAGTGTCCCTCAGAGGCTCATGTGTTGGTCTCTAGCTGCATGCTACTGGGAGGGGGTGAAACTTTAAGAGCTGGGGCCCTGAGGGAGGTCTTTGGTCACTGGAGGGTTTTGTGGAACTATGGTCTCTTCCTCTCTTGCTCTTTTGCTCCCGGGCCATGAAGTAAGTGTTTTGCTTTGCCATCTTCCCCTGCTACGATGTGCTGCATCACCCAGGCAGCAGGGCCAATCACATGTGGACTGCACCTTGTGAATCTTTGAACTTAAAGAACCTTTTTCTTTTTAGAAGTTGATTAGCTCAGGCATTTGTTTTAGGGACAGAAATCATACGAACACAGAACATGACTTCTAGAGTTGTGTGGCTTAACAAAATAATATTTGTAAAGTGCTTAGCAGTGTCTGATGCATAATAAATGTCCTATAAGTTCCAGGGTGCCATCCCCTGTCTAACCAGTAAAATATTACACAGACTTGAAAATGGCTCCCTTGGAGAGAACCTTTGATTTTGCTAAGGGTAAATAGGTGGGAAAGCAAGGAAAAGACAATTAAAAGGACAAGAGATGAGAATGATTTCTTGGGTCAAATAAAAATTTACATATAATATTGAAAATGATAATGACTAAATGTGGACTAGAACGACCAAAATGTGACATTGTTATGTGTTTCTGTGTAATAATAGGACAACAAACTTACCAGCTGAACACTGTGCACACTTGGTATCTCATGGTTTCTGGGGGTCAGGAGTTTGCACCTGGCTTACTTTGGTCCTCTGTAACCTTGCAAAATTCAGCTGGCGCTGGGGTCTCATCTGAATGCTTGGCTGGGGAAGGGTTTACTTCTGAGCTCACATAATTGTTGGAAGCATTCAGATCTTTGCAGATGGTTACAGGTATAAAGCATCTTCCAGAAAGAAAGACTACAGTCTTCTGTGACCTCGTCGTGTATGTGGTCACGTACATCCCATCATCTTTGTCATATTCTGCTTTTCAGAGCAAGCCCCACACCATATTCTGCTTTTCAGAGCCACTCACACTCAAGCGAAAGGTGTCACATGAGGATGTGAACCAGGAGACAGAGACACATGGGGAGGGGGGGGCACCTTAGCGTCTCCTGACACAGGTTGTTTCCAAAAATCTAAGCCAAAAATTTAAGGTCAAGGTTTTGACAGAATGTGCTCCTGAAATCAATTTTAAAAGATGCCATTTTAAGAAAAAAAAAAGCAGCATGGTTAGAATATGTGAAGTGTCCCAAGATGACCTCTTTGAGGGGGCAGTGCCCATTTCTACTAGAATTTATATCCCATCAGGTTTTTGTGGCCAGTTATATTATTTCATCATCAAATTTCTTCTATTCCCAAACTAGAGGGAGTTTTCTATGACCTCTCATTATCTAAAGAGATCTGAAAAGACAAACCTAACTTTATTTAAATTTCTTTGTGTGTTCGGAGTTCTGAATTTGCCACACAATAGCGTTAAGTATTCACTTTGCCTTGGCTGTGGAGGGCTGTGGGAGTTGCTGTTAAGTAGCTCTGGTGGCTTCTATTATAATCAAATACAATCGCCAGGCACTTGGCATTGAACCTCACAAGGTGGAATAAGTTTGTATAGAGCTGTGTCATGCTCACCTGTGTGAGATAATCAACTTGAGCAGAAGGACACACTCAGCATCATGAGACACCCAAACTTGATAAGTACCCCTCCACAAATGGTCCGAGGGCATAAGGTCATCTTAACTTTGGAGTTTAAGGATGCTATCAAATCGACAGATCACAGGGCACAAAAATCTCTTAATTCAGTTCGATGAACACAGATTTTTCTGGAGAGTGTGAGATTATAGCTAACATGAAAAATGGAAGTGAGTTGGAAGGGTCTTGCTTAGTTTCTACTTCATAGAAATCGCAGTGAGCCAATAATAAGTGCATTTGGATGCTGAGATAACTCCCTGGAAGAAAATCTTCAGGGAAGATTTTTCAAAACTCTGATCCATTCCCCAGGATTTGCCGTCATGTTATTGATTCATTATGTTCACCTCATTTGAAGCATTATTCATCTATGACTTTGGTTTGTGGCTGAATTCTACTGAGAATAAAATCAGCAAAAACATTTCTCCTTGAACTTCATTTTTCTTTGCATGTTCTTGATAGCATCAACTGGGCCTGGAGAATTTTTGTCACAAGCAAATATAGGCTTATTTGTATTGAAATCTGATATACTCATCATTGACACTCACAGTGTGTAGATGTACAAATGAATTTATAAGTAAATATGAGGTTTCTCCTAAATGTTATTGTATCGGCAGATTAATATTTTCAGGCTCGTGCTTAAAAAAAAAAATCACAATCCTGGAATAAGTCAGCTCAAGACCCCAAAAGAGAAAAACTCTAGCACTACCCCTAACCACAGAACTGAACAACGAAAGAGCTCATCCTCACATTAGATTGTTGTCCTAGGTCGGCCCTTAACTTGATATGTGACTTTGGGAAGTTCACTCAACTCCAGATGCAAACATCATATAAAGGGCTTTTTCAGATCTAGAATCTCATAACTCTTGGGGACACAAAGAGGTGGCGCCCTTTTATAAACAAGAGTGTCAAATTTCTAACCTCTGATCTTCTGGTATTTTCAAGGGATCTCTGAGGTCACTGGGTTGACTCCTCTGAGCAGGGGTGAGAGAGGAGGAACCGGGATGATACAGAGATGAATAGTGAGTCCCCAACCATCAGAGGGAAAGTGTTAGTGATAAATTCAGCCACCTTTATTGAACATTTTCAAACGCAGGGCACACTGCCAGGTATTGCAGGAGATGGGCAAATAGGATTAAGACATAGTTTCTGCCTTAAAAAGGCCCACAGGATGGAGGAAAAATAAGAGTTGATAAATAAATAAAACAACCCAAGTCAAGACAGGGGTACGATTATGGCCACAAGGAAGATTCAGACCTGTGGTTATTAAAGTTTCCATGGAACAATCATATCTGGTTTGGGAAGGATGGGCCCAGAAAAGCTTTCATTAAAAGATGACACGTGGAGTGGACCTTAAAGGATGGGGAGGAGTGTACCCGATGAGAAGGAGGCCAGGGAGCTTTAGGCAGAGGGAGACGACGAATGTGGTGTGGGGATGGGAAAATGTGAGCTTTGGGAATAAAATGGCAGCATTCCATTTGGTTGGACAGTGGGCAATTGTGGTAAAAAAGTAGGCGATGAGCTCACGACTTCATGAGCTACAGAGTGACTGCAGCCCAGGTAGGTTATGTGGCTGGGGCGTCCTAACTGATGTGGCATACTGTCCCTCGGAGACAAACTCATTTTCGTCTTTATGCCAACAGGATGCATTTTAAGGACACGAAGGTCACTGCAATAATATCTTGTCTTTTGCGTGGATCCGTGTGTAGTTGCACAACCTCTGTGTAATGCAATGCTTTCTAGCTGCATTAGAGAATGTCTAAGATCTCTGTTACCCAATACCATCAGGCACCATCCAAGGGTCACGTAGTAGCATTAAAGCTGCAAGCCTCTATGTGACGAGAACCATTCTCTGTTCAGATATCCTCTTGAACATGAGAAAGCTCTGGTTCTCAAAGGAACTACTTCCAAAGGAGACTAAAAATATAGTATCCTTTTATTTTTAGGATCCTGATGACTGTCTCCTTCATAATCCTTTTGGACTTAACTATCCTTTAAATGTTTGTCTTGCACCTCTTTTGGAGACTTTTTTTCCCACTACTGAGTTCCGTGCCAGCTGCCTGTGTTCTCAGAGCCCACATCATGGCGTGTAAGGAATAAGCGACTCTCCTGCAATTGGCCTTGTCCTTGTCAATTGCAGGCACAACTCTTATGAATTATTTAAGCTCCTGCTGTCCTGGAGTGAGCCCAGTAGTGCTTCAAGTATTCATAAAGAAGGCCCTTAAAGAGTGGGGAATCATACTCTTAGAGGTAGTGAGTGGAGGAAAGTGGCAGTCGTAGCTGAAGGTTTAAATAAACACTGGGCCAAAGACCTGAACAGAGGCTCCTGGTAGATTTGTGTTCTTAGGGTCAATTCTGTAGCCTGTGTCCTGTGCTGTCTAACTTTGAAGTATTCTCTTATGCCTCTGGTTAACTAGGGAGCAGAGTAAAATTATAGCAACAACCCCCTTAACAACAAGGAATCTGCCAAGTGCAAGAACTATGTTAATCTTGAAAAAAAATCCCATGATGTGGTGACTGTTTTCACTTTTCAGATGAGGAAACTAATGTTATCAATTCAAGGTCATACAGCCAGTGGTGGAGCCCAAACAGGCAGCGGTTTCTTTGCCAGTGCAGAGTCAGGAGAGCTGGGATGGTGTTAGAGTCTGTAAACAAGTCAGGATGGCGCCTGGCATTTTGCCAGAGGGAGTGGTTTGTGAAGTAACACCAGCGAGCCATTAAGTGTGGAGGTTCCTTATTGGTTGACTGCTGTATCTAGTTTATGCTAATTAAGATAAGCTGTGTGGAATGTATAAATATCCCTCCGGTCCTACAATAAACGGCTCCCACTCCTGCTGTATCAATGTACACAAGTTGCTCGTCACCCCCTGGTCATTTTGCTGCAGCCGGACTGCGGCAGGATGGTAAAGGCCCAGTGCATTCCTAAGGGGTACTGTGTCGTGGGTGTGGCGGATGCTGTAGGACTCTGCCAGTATCCTGGAGGAGATGACGCTCATTCCCAAAGCTCCTGGGAATGTCGGCAGCAGATGACTCTCAGCTGAGCTCTTCTCTGGCCATCGCCCTCAACAGAAAGAGCCACTTCACCCAAGGTCACGCTCTTTCCTCGGGGAGTGAGGGTCATAGACATGTCTATGGGGAGAGTGAGATAGGTAGGGCCTGGCCACCTTGTCCTAAAGCCTGCCAATTCTGCAAGACCAGCTCAGCTCTGGAGTCTGACCACACTTCTTTATCTCCTCCACAGGCACCGGATGATCTTCTGCAGGCTCATCTCTAACTCTGAACTAAGACATCCAGCATAGTGGAAACCACCTGGCTTCAGTCAGGAGACTTGAAGTGGCTCCAACACCTCCTCCCTGGGCCATGGACCTTGAGTACATTACATTGCTAGGGGATAGTCACACATCAGTGGTGGGAATATAAAATTAAGGGAATAGTTCTATAAACTGGGCTCACTGTGTTGATCCCCCCCCCCACGTGCTTTCACTTTTAAAAATCAATTTACCTGCAGCCCTGCCTGGATTAAATCCACGGGATATGTTACCTTCCTCAGCAAACAACCTGTTATCTGCAGGCGGAATGCAGGCCTGAAATGCTGATAAGAACACAAGTTACCCAGAAGGGGGAGACTTTTGTGATCCTGACACAGACCAGATCCCAGAAATCAGGAAGTTAAGGATAATTCCCCCTGACTGTAAAACCTGTAAGAACAGGTTCTAATTAAAACCAGTCAACATGGTCAAAATGACCTAGAGTGGTTATGGCAATGGGGACTTGAAAGTCTTATGTCATCCTGCTGTCAGTCAAAAGTTAAGAGGTGGACCTAGGGAATCTCTGAAAACTTCCTTGGGACCCCCAAATAAAACTAGTGTGCAGGAGAGGGACAGTGTGTCTGCTCCTCTGAGAGTATCCCCTTTCCCCCTTTTCTATGAACTCATGCCCGTTACTCTCAGCAACATGTCTGAAATCCTTCTGGCTTGATCACTAGAATCAGGGTTTTAAGGAATGGAGTGTGTGTGTGTGTGGGGGGGGCAGACTTTTATCCTGCCTCAGTTTCTCAAAAGGCCCCAGACTGTAACAATAATCCCTTCCCTAATCTCAGTTTTACCATGGATTCAATAGAATTGATATTCTAGGGTGGTTGTTAGGATTAAAAAGAGAAACGTATGAAATATAATGCCTGGCACTTACTTTATGGCTGAGCCCCAGTCATCTGTGGCCTGGATTGCAGCCTCAGCAGCTCTATTTAGAAAAGGCAGAAGCCAGGAGGTTCTCAGGGGGGGCGGGGCTGCATGGGTACAAGCTTAGAAGGCCTTTGACCTAAGCTGTGTTCCCAGCCCTGACCAGCAGACTAAGCCCCTTGGCTTAGTGGTTTGGCTTTACTTGAGTTTTCTAAGCTCCATCTGTGCTAACATTTTCATGAATTTATATAGATCTATTTATAATAGATAGATCTTCTATTTTGATTTTCCTGTATTAAAAGCATTTGGGTGAGCCTAGGAGGGAGGAAGAGGTGGGAAAAAGGGAAAAGGAAAGAGAGAGGAAGAGAGGGAGGGAGAGGAGGAGGAAGAGAGGAATAGGGGGAGACATGCAGACAGATAGAATAAGAGAGGGAGAGAAATATTGAGATTTTCTAATTTATGCTGATGACTTTGAAACTCATTGACCATGACTGTCAGAAAGTAGTATTTTACTACCTGACACACACATGTACCCCCTCCCCCCTAAAAAAACCCCACAAATTTTAGGAATTAGTGCATGCTCTTACTATGTACAGTATATTGTTCTTTACTATTCTGTCCATTCCATTCACTTCCAGAAGACGAACTGTGGTAGAGAACAATGAGAACTTTAGCAGTGTAAGAGCTGACAGGCTGTGGTTTTGCACAGCAGCTCTGCTTGCTGACATTTAACCATAGAGGCCTGCAGCGGCTAACTGGTACCTGTAAAAGATAACCACAGTAGCAAAAGCAGGAAACAAAGCAACAGGAACAGAACAATCCCTTTAGGCTTTGCGCAGTAAAAGTCTCTAAGCTGTATGAGCTAAGAGTCCCTAGGTTGTTGACAAGCTTGCACCCATATAAAGAATGCATCCTCTAATAGAATTGCACCAAGTCTCTCACATTGATGTGTACCCCAAACTTGTTTATGTAAAAAGTAACAGCCCTGCTGTGCTTGGGGCTCAGACTTTGGGAATTATCCCTCTTTTGGCCGTGACAACACTAAATAAAATGTTGCTTCCAGATTTCAGTATCCTGACCCTCATTTCCTGCTCCAAAACCACACCAAACATCCTCAGAGGCTTGCTCTTTCCCTCTTAGCTTCCCTAAGTCTGAGTCGCTCAGTGAAACAGCAGGCTGAGTTCTGGTGTCCCCCTGCCTCACCTTCACTATCTCACCCTGCAGTGCCTTTGGCTTCACTCTCAGAGTGGAGAGCATCTGTCTGCTGTGAACTTGCTGTGGACATCTGGTCCAGTCTGCTCAGTAGGCTGGTGAGACCCTGGGAGCAGGGTCTCCTGCACATTGCTTTCTCTTCTTTTAGGTCTTTCCCCTGTGAATCCTATATATACTTTTGTATTTTCGTTGCATGAGGCTGGTGGCGGGTGTTGGCATCTCTTTGTGTGTCAGTTTCATTTAAAAGGATCGTTTACCTCCTAAATTGATCATGTTGCAAACTACAGTTTTGTTTATTTATTTTTAAGCCCCTCAGATCTAGCTAATTGTTCTTTTACAGGAAGCAGTGTGACCAGAAGTCCTTAAGCACGTTTGGCACTCAATTCCCTGGTGAGAAAATTGTACCCTTCATTTACATCTGCTAATTTTCAAAAAGGAGCTTGGTCAGCTGAACTTGTAGTAAAAGAAGCCTCATCTCCACTCTGGGTCAAGTTCTTGTTCAACTGCCCATGGGTGCAAGAACCTATTTCAGTGAGCTCCTGGGATTTGGAGCTCTCAGTGGGGGCAGAGTGAGCAGCAAACCCACCCAGGGAGCTGCTTCTGCCTTCCGCTGTTCTGCCACTCGACCAGCGACCAGCGCTCAGCGCTGGCCTCATGAAAGAAGGTTCGGTTCATAAGAAATTACTAGGGAGTTTTAAATTAAAGAGACAAGACTCTCATTACTTTTAACCAGCTCCGAGATGGCTTCTCCTAGCTCCCACCTCCAGCCACCTAATGCGGTGGCGAGGTTTACAGAAGAGACTAGTGAGAGAGGGAGAACACGCCAGGGAGTAGGCTTTTATTGGGGAACAAAAAAATTCCCGGGAAAATCCCATCCAATGAAGGTTAAGGGGGGGCAGCATCCCAAGGTCAAGGGCCATGATTGGGTCTTCAGGGCAGTGGCCAGGCACGCCTCTGCATGGACAAGCCCTCGGACCTAGGAAAGGGTGGGGAATGGCTGTAACACAGCTGTGTCTGAGCGCCTCTCACCCAGCCAGGGAGGTAACTCAAATCACGTTCGAGGATGGCCTCCCACACTCTGTCTCCCTAGGGACAGAATTCAATATCTTTAACCACCGGTCATGGGAACAGATGCTTGCTGGAGCAACGGGCAAAGAAGGCCTGCTCTGCCACAGGTTCCTGAGTGCAGTCGCCGTGTCGTGGAGGACTAGTGAAGGGCTGCAGGGGCGAGGGGCACCTGGGAGAGTGCAGGTTGATGACCTTGCTGTCTCCTTGCCTGATAGCTTGTGCCCACATGCAAGAGCAAAGAGATGCATCCGAGTTCTTGGAGAGGGATGCTATGGAGGAGCTTGTGGGGTCTTCTGGCATGTCCCTCCCTACTCCCAGTGACGAGAACCTCTGCTGCAGAGCAATACAGTACTGAGATGGAAGGGCGCTTCCTTGACGGTGTGCAATCGGGAAATCCATGGGAGCAGAGGTGGAAGTGAGGCAGGAAGATAGATCTGCCTTAGGCAGCCAGGATAAGGCCTAAGAAGGAAAGAAGTGCCAATCTGAAAGGGGACATCAGGTCTGGAAGACATCCCGTGCCTTGCTACTCCCCGTCAGGTTTAACCACTCTTCTGAGTTAGAATACCTGTTTCTGTTCCTGACAACTTCAACCACACAGCTCTTCCTTAGTTACCCTTGCCTCCACCCCTAGCAACCCCTACCTGAAGTGCTTCCTGTCCCCGACAGACTTGTCAAACCACAAGGTTGGACCTGTCCTCGTAATTATGTAAATAAGGGATTGAAATTATGTACTTCTGGTTGGTTTATTAAACTCAGAGCTTAGAGGGCTTAATTGGTTCATCCTTTATCCCACCATATAACCTGTGCTGAGCCGTCAGATAGATATGCCTTTAAAAAACCTTACACAACAGACACCTGATGGCATCCCTCTCTTGGGGCTCCTCTCCTTCAGGAGCTCTGCTTTCTTTCTATGTAATAAATCCTGTTACTTTACTCTCACCCTTGTGTCTGTGGATTCCTGGAATTTGCAAGACAGAGAACCCAACTGCCTAACTGTGTTACAGAAGGTCAAAGTACGGCAGCAACCTGAAAGTTTGGAACAGAAGTTCCGGGTGTCTTGCTGCTCCTGTAAGCCTGATGCTGAGGTACTCTGAAAGCATGGTCTCAACCCCAGCTTTACTGATACTTTGGGCCAGATGACCTTTGTGGTTGGGGTCCTTTGTATTATGGGATGTTTAACAGCATCCCTGGCACATACACACTGGATGCCAAAGGTATTCTCCTCACCTCATCTGGGACAATCAAAAATGTTTCCAGACATTGCCAAGTGACAACATCAACTCTGATTGATAACCTCTGCTTTAGATCATAAGTGCTTTTATAAATTTTTATTTTTAGTTGTAGATGGACACAGTGTCTTTATTTATTTTGATGTGGTGCTGAGGATCGAACCCAGTGCCTCACACGTGCCAGGCAAGCACTCTACCACTGAGCCACAACTCCAGCCCATAAGTTCTTTCTGTATCCACCTTTTTTTGTGTGTCAAACATTTCTGCTTTCAGCACATAATAATAATGAAACATTTAATAATGTTCTGACTTTTTGATGTATGTGAACATCTTGTTTTCACATAGAGAGTGACATATTTTTATAATGGTCATTAAAAATGCTGTAAACAACTACTGAGCTTAGTGATTAAAGAGACGTGCTATTTTTCCCATTTTCTTTGTTTGGTAAGGGCACCAAAGAGAATTCTGCTAGGAAGATTTACTAGCTCATGAAAAATGGAGTGCTCATTGGATATTGATTAAGGAGGAATGCTTCAATAGTATGTCCCTGGATGGACTTCCACGATTTACTAATAAACAACAATCAATAGTAATATATTAAGAACTCTTAGGTGTTTCCAAGGCCAGGGCTAATAACAGCGTCCATGGGAGCCCTGTTCAGAAAAGAAATACAGAAAAGTTGAC